AACATCACTAATGTGAAAATATGTTTAATAGGAATGCATATGTATAGCCTATATCAGCTTGTGCGCCATCTTGTGGAGGTTGGTGGGAGGAAGGGGGAGAAAAATTTTAAACTCAAAAGCTTATGGAAGTGATTGTTGATAAATCAAAATTAAAAAAAAAAAAAGAGATGGGAAAGGGGGCAGCTAGGTGGTGCAGTGGATAGAACTCCGGCCTTGGAGTCAGGAGACCTGAGCTCAAATCCAGCCTCAGACGCTTGACTTGATACTTACTAGCTGTGTGACCTTGGGCAAGTCACTTAACCCCAATTGCCTCACCAAAAAATAAATAAAAAATAAGCAAACAAATGAGATGGGAAAATAGCCTCCCAAAGGGACACCATCCATTGAATACATTTGAATTACAGCATGTTTGCTAAGGAATCAGATGGTTGCTGTGAAAAACACACCAGAAAGAGGAAACAAAACACAACAGAAAAAAAAATAGCAAGTGGTATGCTTCGATCTGCAAACTCCATAGTTCTTTCTCTGGATGTGGATAGCATTTTCCAACGCGATCCCATCTCTTTTAATGAAGACTATTTTTTGCCATTGCTTTGTCTGAGATCATGATAGGTACCTCTGCTTTTATAAATTCAGCTGAAGCACAACAGATTTTATTTTACCTATGCCTTACTTTTAACTGCGATTCTGTTTCAAGTGCTTCTTTTAAACCACTTTTTGTTGAATTCTGCTTCTTAATCCACTACCATCCTCCTCCATTTTATGGGTGACTTCATCCCATTCACATTCACAGTTCTCTTTTATATGTGTATTTTTCTCTCTACTGTTCTCTTATACTTTTTCATCTCTTTGCTCCCTACTTTCTTCAAAGAGGAGGCAGGTGGTGGGAGGAAATATGCTCAGCACCACTGTTCTATGTGATAATGTTCTTTTCCCTGCTTCTTTTCTCTTCTCTTTACCCAGAACCCTAATTCTTAACTTTTCTTTTAAACCTCTCTTCATAGTTTACCCCTGAGCTTAGAGTTTGTTTTGTTTATAACTAATCCTTCTCTGAATTTATCTTTATCCCCATTTCCTATTTCCCTTTTTTTCCTGAATCTATTTCTATACCTAACTCTTGTGTTCTACCCACCTTTGACCTGTTCAGATGAAACTGAAGTTCAAGTGACACCTGCTTCCCCTCCACACCTTCCTTATTCATATAATCTTCCATTTGTGCATGTTGATCATGTAGGATAAATCCCTACCCTTGCTTCCCCCCTTCCCTTCCTTTTTCTGACCATTCCTAGACCCTCTGTCTTAACTTCTATAATCCAGATAACATTTAGCATGCTAAAGGGATATTTGTATCATCTCTCCTTATTAGAAGGTAAACACTTCCCTCTTTGTATAGTTCCTTCCACTGGCTCACTTATATTTATTTCAGAGCTCCTATTCATCTCTGGTATTTTCTTCAGAAATTCTTGTAAATTTAAAAGTCCTTTTTTCTCCCTGGAGGATTATACTTAGTTTTCCTGGGTAAAAAAAATTTTTCTTCATTGTAAGCCTTTATCTTTTGCTTTTTGGAATACCATACTTCAAGCTCTCTGCTCCTTTAAAGTAGTGGCTGCTAAATCTTGTGTGATGGACTGTGGCTCCTTGGTGTTTGAACACTTGCTGGCTAATCACAGTATTTTTTCTTTGACTTAGAAGCTCTGGATTTTGGCTGTGATATTCCTGGGAGTTTCTATTTGGGGGGTTACTTTTTTTGATTTTGTCTTCCTTTTCCATTATGTCTAGGCATGTGTCTTTCTTAATTTTTTGAAATGATATCCAGGCTCCTTTTTTGGTTCTAGTTTTCAGGTAATTCAATGATTCTTAAATTTTCCCATCAGATCAGATGTTTTTGATACGAGATTCCACACATTTTCTTCTATTTGAAAAAAATCATTTTCTGACTTTCATTTTTTTCTCTTGCAGTCATTAACTTCTTTTGTCCATTCTAAATTTTAAGTCTATTCCTTGAATAAGGAATCGTACCTCTTGCACAAAGTAAGCTGTTATTCTAAATCTTCCTTCCAAAACTTTTATCTCTTCCAGCTTTTTAGTAGTTCAGTCATTTCAGTTGTGTCCCGTTCCCTATGACTCCATTTGGGATTTTCTTGGCAGACACACTGGAGTAGTTTGCCATTTCCTTCTCTCCATCTTATTTTATAGATGAGGGAACTGAGGCAAACAGGATTAAGCTCATGGTTACAGAGCTAGGAGTGTCTGATGCTGGATTTGAACTCATGAAGAGGAGTCTTACTGACTGGTGCTCTATCCACTGTGTCACCTAAGTTGCCCTAAACTTCTGCTTTGCCAAGTTTGTCAGTATGTTTCAGTTGGTCTGTGATTTTTCAGTTCTGTCCGACTCTTCTTACCCCATGTGGGGTTTTCTTGGCAGAGATACTTAAGTGCTTTGCCATTTCCTTCTCCACCTCATTTTATAGATGAGGAAACTGAGGCAAACAGGGTTAAGTGACTTGCCCAAGGTCATACAGCTACTGAGGTCAGATCTTTGTGATTCCAGGCCTAGTATCCTATTCACTCTAACACCTAGCTACCCAGCTAGTACCTTTTATAATTCCATTTTTAAAAGTTCTAAAAATTCCTCATTTTTTCTAGGATTCTAGTTGAATTGTAGCCAAGTTGTATTTTTCTTTGAAGCTCTGCTTGTGAATGTTTTGGAGTTAATGTCTTCTGGATTTGTGACTTGGGCATCTCTGGCTTGTTACTGTGAGTCTTTTTACTCATTCTTCCAGCATTACTTCTTAAATTGGTACTTTGTGTTAGGGCCAGGTTCTGTACACTTTCAGAGAGCATTTGGGGACCTTGAGTAATTCTAGTTTGTATTATCTGGGGTCCTACCATTTCCTTTCTCCAGGAGTTCAGTGCTGTATCTTTTCAAGGACCATAAGGGCAGTTCAGGCCAGGGAGCTACTAACCTTCAACAAGCTCCAAGTGGTCTGAGCTAGGGCATAACCTGGACTGAGCTTCCCAGGCTCTAAGCCATGATTTGTGTCTAGGCCACACAACTGCAGACTTGCCCTGGGTAGAGGTCCAATAGACTGTTGTTGGCTGCAGCCCCTGTCAGCTAACTATGACCCTGTAGTTTCAGAGCTGCAGGCTGACCCCTGGTTCTATAGATCCTAGCATACATAGCTACTAGACCCTAGGCAGTCTTAGATGCAGCACTAAAACTACAGAGCTGCCAGCCCACGCTGATCTGCATCCCTGATCCTGCTTCAGAGCCAACCCACCTGTGTTGCACAATTTCTGGTCAGTTTTCTGTGGGCCAGGGGCAGCTAGGTCACACAGTGGATAGAGCTCCAGGCTTGGAGTCAGGAGGACCTGAGTTCAAATCCGGCCTCAGATACTTGACACCTACTAGCTGTGTGACCCTGGGCATGTCACTTAACCCCATTGCCTAGCAAAAAAGGACAAAATAATTTTCTGTGGGCCAAATTTGGGCTGGAAAAACAACTCATGATAGTCTTCTCATATAGCACTCTTCTTAGATCTTAGTGTAGTGGTATAGTGTGGGGAGACTTGTACTGTACTCCTTCTTCCCTCTCTGGATTCTACTATGTTCATTTCACTATTGTTCAGAATGTGTGTGACACTCCTCTTTGTTAATTTTTTGGCTAGGCAATGGGGTTAAGTGACTTGCCCAGGGTCACATAGCTAGTAAGTGTCAAGTGTCTGAGGCTGGATTTGACCTCAGGTTCTGCTGACTCCAGGGTCAATGCTCTATCCACTGCGCCACCTAGCTGCCCCACCTTGGGCACATTCTTTAGAAACTCTTCAACTTCCACAAAAATTTATCCAGTGTTATTTTGATTTTTGGAAATAACCAAAAGTCATTCAAAGCAAGCTAAGTCTGGTGAATAAGGTAGGTGATCCTGTCAGATAATGCTGGTTTAGCTCTAAAGTAAGGAGTGACTAGATGAATTTGTGTACGTGACCCATAAGCTGGCTGCAGTACAACTTTATATTGATACCTTGCATTTCTGTTTATCTTAGACTATTAAAGTTAGTTTATGTTCCCTGAACCATATGAACTCAAGATAAAGTATATAATGGCCTAGGAATAAATGAGAACTGTATGTAGACTTTTTAGAAATAGGGTACCTGACAAACACAGGATCTAAGTGGCAGGGGACCTCAGAATCTCCCTAGCCCAATTTAAGCCTGGACCAAAATAATTTTTGCAATACCTCAACAAATGATTATCCAACTTTTACCTGACGACCTCAAATGAGAGGTCTTCCCAATCCATGATCACAAATTTGGCTTACCCAAAAGTGACCAGAAGAGATACCATGGAAAAAGGGTGTGTCACTACTCAGGCCCATTCCACTTTTGAATAGCTATAATAGTTTTTCCCCTACACTAAAGGAGCCTAAATTTGTCCTTCTATAACTTTCACCTGTTGTCCTACTTCTGCCCTCTGCTGACAAGTAGGACAAGTCAAATATTTCCACATCTACATACCCTACGGGGACATAATATCTTTCTCTTCCTGTGGGTGTAGTCTAAGGTTTCATGGGCTCTCCTATATCTACACTCATAATCTCTTGGAGGCATCATGGGTTTAATTATCAGCTGTTTACAGATGACTTGTATAACTGTAACAGCAAATTTTTTTCTGGATGTTTCATAAGTATATCAAATGTGTGCACAATTACTCTTTCCCTCCAAACTGTCCTATTTTTGTTGAAGGTACCAATATTCTAGTTACCTAAGTTTGCAAACTTGGGAGTTATCCTTAAATCCCTACTCTGTTACCCCATTTGCCAACTCATCAATTCTACTTTCACAATGTATCTCAAATCCATCCCCCTCGTTTTCACTCACAGGTACCACCCTAGTTCAGGCCTTCACCACCTCTCTTGGATCACTGCCAATAGCCTCCTAATTGGCCTCCACGTCTCATCTCTTCCTCCCCTATCCTATCTTCTTCACAGCTGCCAAAAGCGCTACCCCTCAAGCACAGGTTTCTCTTATTCCCTTCATTCTCTCACTCAGCAAACCCTAATGGTTTCCTGCAACCTCTAAGGTCAAATACAAATTCCTGTGTTCAGCATTTAAAGGCCCTCACGACCTGGCTGCAAACTACTTTTCCAGCCTTACAAATACTTTACTTCTCTTAATGCATTCTTCAGTCCTGGAATGTCCCCTGGAATGCACTCTCTCTTTATTCTTTCCTCTTAGAATCCCTAGTTCCTTCTCACCAGGCAATGAAGTTCATTTAGAGACCTAGATGGAAAGTATCAGGTTCACTTCAAGTCCTTTTCTGATCAGAAACATCTTTGGATTTCATTTAACCTTTCTGGCATCACTTCTTTCCATTATAATTGGGCCAAATATGCCTCCCTTCCCCATTCTGTTTACTGAGATGTAAGAATTATAGCCAGCATTTATGTGGTGCTTTAAGGTTTGCAACATAGACATTAATAAAATCTCGTTTGATTTCCACAACAATTCTATGATACACCTGTTGTAATTGTCCTCATTTTACTAATAAGGAAACTGAAGCCAAGAAAGGTTTACGGGGCAGGGAACCAGGTCGAGCACTATGCTACCCTGTTGCCTCAGGTTAGGCTTAAGAAAAATTATGATGCCTCACCAAAAAAAATTATGATGAAAAGAATAGTGGGTTTTGAATGCTTAAGAAAAAAAAACCCAACCCAGGGCAGCTAGGTGGTACAGTGGATAGAGCACCAGCACTGGAGTCAGGAGGACCTCAGTTCAAACCCACCTCAGACACATAACACTCACTAGCTGTGTGACCCTGGGCAGTCACTTAACCTCAACTGCCTCACCAAAAACCAAACAAACAAACAAACAAACGAACCCAACCTATTACAGTCAGTCAGGAGAGTTGCCATACTTATGTCTTAAAGAATGAAGCTCCGGATTCCCAAACTTGGAGTGTTTCTAACCAGTTCTCACTTGTGTAAATGTGGATAGAGATTCGGCACCATGTTGCCAGCCTAGTGGCTTTTTCTTTAGCCACAGCAACCCAGACTATCTACTTAAGGCAGTTGGCAAAACTATAATCTGTAAGGGTGAGAAAGTGTCACGATGAAATTATAGATCCTTGAATGAAGCCTAAGGGAGGAAAGCCATAGATAAGTGGGGTACCAGAACCTTGTCCTACTATTATTTGCTACAGAGCAAGTCCACAGTTGAGAAGTGTATATTGGAATTCAGTTATTCAGGAATTAATTATGAGGACCTTTTTGTAACAGGACCTACATCACCTATAAAGTAATTCCCTGGTGTGAACCCCAAGGCGAGCATGACAGTGTAATCAAAATCAAGACAGCCTATGACAATTTAGATTTCACCTTATTTCACTCAAGTTAAAGTTGAAAAGAAAGGCACAAGAACTTTGATGATCAGGCCTCATTTGTTCTTTTTGAAATGGTTTAATCTTAATCTGGCCTCAGACACATTAGCTGTGTAATCTTGGGCAAGTCACTTGACCTATTTGCCTCAGTTTCCTTAACTGCAGAATGGTGATAAAAGCACCTACCTCCCAGAGTTATTGTGAAGATCAAATGAGATATTTGTAAATCGCTTAGTACAGTCTCTAGCACATACATATAATTATGTGCTATGTAAGTGCTAGTTATTATCATCTGAAGAACCCTCAATAATGACAACTCGCTCTGTCCAGTTATCAGCAACAAGGAAAGGTAATCTCTAATCTCTGCCCTTACCACGGAAACAGCATGTAATTTTGGGTAAGACACAATTGCTTTATGAATTAGCTTTCCTATTTGTAAAATGAGTCATCCTTGCCTAATCCAATGTCTCATTTTGCCATGAGGTCATGACTGACCCTGGATTCTCAATGCCCAGAGAATTTTAAGTTCTGGTAGATCCTTCCAAGACAGAAAAATTTCAGGTATGGGCATACAATACACTGTGTCTTTCACTCATCTTAGATTTAGAGGAAATCAATGCTGAAATGGAACTTAGAGATCACCTTGTCCAAAACTTTCTTCTTTCCTCAACTGGAAAAGTGAAGCAAAGTGATTCTCTGTCCTGCTGGATAGTCTGGATAGCAGTTATTTTGCAACTTCATAAATGCTTTCGCGGAAAAACAATTCACTTACATACAACTGAGATTATTTTTCTCCTTTATTCCTCATCACATTCTTTGAGAAATGGACTTCTTCCAGCAGTGGGGGAGCCCAAAGACACATTAAGATGACAAGTATTTCAGTACTCAAGAGAAAAAAAAAACCTCCCCCTCTAATAACCAAATACCAACCTTAACCAACTGAAAGGAGTCACATATCAACCATGAATAATACACTTTTGGCACACAAACGACCTGGTTTTGAAAACAAGGCCTCTCTGAAAACTGTTCATTTCTGTGTAATGCTCTTGGTACCCAAATTAATTTAATAGCAGCGACTAGAAAACATTTCTTTTTCAAAGGCAAGACACACAGCATCAAGGACTTCAGCTCTTGGGTGGGGGCCGTCTCAGTATACAAATCCCACTGGAGAAGGCTCTATCTGAAGGAGGATGTGATCTGCAGACCAAAGCATGCAAGAGAATCTGGCTGTCACATTTTGGCTGAATGGCCTGCAGGTAAAAGCTGGCCACAGCCTTTTCAGCAACAGAAAACCTGCTTTGCATTAAATGTTTACTTTCTTCAGAGAGGCTTAGAATACTTTGCACTCCTTGCCCCTCAGGCAAACCATACTCTTGTCCTTATGGTCCCCAGAAAATTTGGAGCCTCAATCACTATCATAATAAATGGGTCACTGATGCAAATAAATAATTTTCTCTGGGTTAAAAAAAGGTCTAATTTCCTTCCCCTCCCATCACTCTTCAGGATTTTCACATGATCACTTCAGTGCTGGTGGCAAAATATATTTTGCGGCCAACCCAGAGTATGGATCTCGGTTTACAATATGGGAGAAGGGAATCTTCTGTCCTATGGCTCTTGCCTGCTACCTAAGACAGAGAGGCTGTTCAGTCTCGGTCCAAGGCTTAGGGCTTTGTCTTTCCAAAAAGGGGCTGTCTCAAGGGAGAGGAATCAAGTGAAGAGAAGGGGTGACCTGGCCACCACCAACTGGATTTGGCTGACTGCTCATTGCAAGGCTCTTGAGCTCTGGTAACATTCGAGTGAGCTCAGAGGCACAGGACCCTAAATTTGTTCTAATCCATGCCCAAGACAGCTGCCAACTCAGTGTGCTTAAGAAATGTACCCTCTTTTTATTCCTCTAAAATGTCCACCTTGTACTGGCTAGAAAGTAAGAGAAAAACTCTTTACCTGTCCCCTTAAGGCTTCCAGAGCTGAAGGAGCTAAACATTTTAAAAAATTTTCCAAGATCACATTTCATTAATCCTGTCTATGATAACAAGAGCTCCGGCGCTGTCACAGCATTATACAGAGCAAAGCCCATGTCATCTATCTCCTCTTCATGCAAACTGCCAAAAAGATTGATGTGCTGATTAAAATAGCAGGGGAGAGATCCCTCCTCCAGGTAGCCAATCAGCTCCATGATCACCTGCTGGAACCGATCTGCTAAGGAATCCTCGGCCCAGTCTGTCTCCGCCTCACTGAGGTGGAGGATGACCTGGGCCAAGTGGCTGACGCTCAGCCTGTTCAGGGAGGGGTGGCGCCTGCAGATGCCTTGCAGGAGCTGGAGACAGAGGCGTCGGGCACCAGAATCTGCACCATCCAGCTCCCGCAGCTTAGACACCTCAGCCTGGTAGAAGTCCTGCTGCCAAAGGTTTTCCAACAGTCCTTCCTGAGGCTTGGCCAGCAGGGCCCTGTCCTCACTCTCTGTGGTGGGAAAGATGATGATTCTTAGCTCAAACTGGTCATGATGAACCTCCAGCAGGAGCTCCTCCGAGACCACTCCAGGGCGGATGAGGCAATCCAGCATGCTGCCAATGGCCGGCCAGTTGACAGAGCCTACCAGGACCTTCCGGAGCACCTCGAGGACAACGCTGGAGGAGAGGTAGCCACCCACTATGAACCGGTCCCAGGGGCTACTCCCTCGGGGAAAGTACTCCAACTGAGTCCTTCGAATCACCCAGTAGTAAGGATCATTGGCAATGGTGTCTTCTCCGGGAATGAAGCTCCACAGGTTGGGCTCTAGCACCAGTGGCACTAGCAGGCAAGTGCGGTCAGCGGCCACGGCCTCCAGTCCGTCATACAGGGTGCTGCTTGGAGACAGATTCCCAAAAGGCAGCTCTGGGAATTTACTGCGCAAAAAATTCTGCAACTCGCAGGCAATGTCACCAGCCAGCTGTTTAGCCAAGGTGATGTCAGACTCAGAGACAACCACACGGTTCTGATAGTACATGAGGAGTCTCTCCTGCAGTGTAAGGCATAATGGTGTTGGGGGACCGGGGCTGAGTTTGGACACAGTCATGGCCACAGGGTCTCTGGGTGGTTCTGCTTCTACAGAGAGGAAAAGGGCAAAATCAGGCTGTGCACTCCAGTATTAGACCAAAAACAAAAGAGGGCCCTTAAAAACTACACACATTCCATCCTGACCATAATAGGTTTGTGAGACTCAACACACCACAGATAAGGTATAGGACTGGGAAACAAAATCCAACCCCATTTCCAATTCCATTTGTCCCATTGGTAGAACAGAGATTAATACCTAGTCTCTCAAAAGGAGGGAAGACTTACAAAGAAACTTGTACAATACTCACCCAGTGGCCATCACTATGGTCACTCAGCTCAACAGTGAAATGTCCTGTCAGTGGAACAGAGGCAAGAACCACCCCTGCTGGACTGTCCTGGGAAGGCATCAGGCTAGGATGGCCTGAAGATCCCTTTCCTTGCCTACATCAGAAATGCTATGTTTGAAACAGTCCTACAGCCTAGCTTTGAGCAGCAGCTTTCAATGTGTGGTCCAGGAACTCCTGGGGATGCCCAAGATTCAAACTATTTTTCATAAAAATACCAAGACATCTTAATTTCTAATGTGGTCAATATTGACAGTTCTAACCCACATAAACAAAAGCTCTTTGGGAGGTGAGGGTGGTAAAAGTTCTCAACAACTTTTAAAAAATTCTGAAGAAGTTTAAAGGGGTCCTGAGACAAAAGAGGTTGAGAATCATTGGATCTGAGTATAGTGGTAGCTCCTACAAGAATTCAGAAAGGCCCCTGGGAGTCAGAAGACGCTGTCCTGTGCTCTTTCAGGGTTTCAGTTTCGTCCTCTGTAAAATGAGGGCCTAGACTAGATGACGAGCATAATCTATATTTATAAAGCACTCTATAGAAGGCAGCAGAGTATAGTGGGAAGAGAACTAGTCTTAGAGTCAGGAGACTAGGTTTTTAATCCCAACTGCAACACTTACTACCTGTGTGACCACAAGCCACTTGCTAAACTTCCCTGCTCCTCAGTTTCCTCATCTATAAAATGGAAATAACACATACTACCACTTGACCACTTAACACTGTTATAAGGAAAGCATTTTTCATCTTATTTTTGCTGATAGCATGTTTTATATCACTTTCCTTTCCCAACACCTCTCTCCCATACCTAGTAAGCCATCCCTTAAAACAAAGAATGAAAACAAAGAGGGGAGGAAAAAAGCAATTCAAGGGGTAGCTAGGTGTACAGAGGATAGAGCACTGGCCCTGGAGTCAGGAGGACCAGAGTTCAAATCCAGCTTCAGACCAAACACTTCACACTCACTAACTGTGTGACTCTGGGCAAGTCACTTAACCCAAATTGCCTCAC